GATAAAATTGCATGTTAATTTGGTGATGATTCGAAAAAAAAAAAATCTTTCTTATTTTGAATGTTAATTGGATGAATTTGAATATAAATTAAACGTTAATTTGATGAATTGTGTGTTAATTGGATAAAATTGAATGTTAATTTGATGAATTTAATATTAATTTTTTGAACTTTAATTTTAATTTAATGAATTGAATGTTTTAATGTGATGTCAATTTGTTAATTGCATTTTAATAAAATACGTTAGATATAAAACTAATAAAATTGATACTTTAGATATGAAACTACAAAATACCTATAACTTAGGGATAAAAGTGTATTAACCAATTTTAAAAAATCAGGATCAGTCATGAGAGATCCTGATTTACTAAAACCGATCATGATTTTGTAAAATGAGTTAATATACTTTTACCCATCAAATATGCATATTTTGTCAATTTATACCTAAAATATCAATTTTTGTTTTTCAATTTTATCTTGAAAATATTCAAGTAATATGCAATTTGGCAAATTGATATCATATTAACTTTCAAATTCATTCAATTAACATTCAACTTATCAAATAAATATTAAAAAAATTCAATTAACACTCAATTCATCAAATTAATACAAAATTGAATATTTTAGGTGCCAAATTGAAATATTTATATTTTAAGGATCAAAATAATAAAATATGCAATTTTTGAGGATAAAAGTGTTATTAACTAATTTGAGGAATAAAATTGTAAAACAGTTTACTCCTGTTTGGATAAGTTTACCACTTTTTTTTTTTAAATTAAGACTGGGCATAATTGCCCTATCGACCAAAGTTTATTGCACAGGATATTTCTTACAATAGTTTGAGATATCAACCTTCAACCTGGTGAGCCTATAACAATCACATGGTCAGAAAAAAGGGCCCAGGTGAACATCCGACTTATCCCCTCTAAAGTTTAAGTCAGTCTCAAGAATCGAGGTTTAGGCTCAATTAATATGATTTTTTCTGGTTCAATATTGCGTACCTTTACTCACTTTTTTGAGGGGTATTTATATTTGGATTAGCAATAATTGCCAAAGTCTCCCAGTCCCATCTGGATATTTAATGTCTGACACACCTCTTCCTGCGCAATGAATGTTATCCACTTCAGTCTTGTCCCATTCAATGTTAGGATTGACAGGATAAATGCTCGGCATAATGCCGAACATTTATGCCTACTCACGAGCATCGACTTCCCTCCAATCGGCGTGACTCGCAACTGCAAATTGAATACTCGGGGAAAATAGTTTTTCAAGAAAAGCTGAATGTATGTATTCGGCGTAGCAGCTATCAACGCCTAGACTCTCAAAATGTAGGCGCTTGCAGGCACTTATTAATGGCTCTGTCACCATCACTCATTCCGACATAAATGAGCGATCACATCGTATTAAAAAAGCGGTGCCAACCGTCGTACTCGGCTCCTCCGAGACTTAATATCTTGGCTTACCTTCTCGGTGCCTTTTGGTAATCTTAACGGCTCCGTTACTTCACGTGCCAGTCTGTGGGCTGCAAACCTGCCTAGAGTCTCGCCACTTACCGATCAAGCTTAGTGATCATAGCTTAAATTAGGATCAATCCCATGACATGTTGAGCGATCAACCATCTAATTTTTGGTAATTATCATCTATTCTTGCGTTTGATAGATATATTTTCAGTCAAATCTCTAACAATTTTTGTACATACAAATCGATTGAAATTCCAGTTGATAAATTTTTTTTACATATTAAAATTCAAGCATATTAAAATTTATTTTTTTACAAATATTTGAGACAATTGAGCTGATTAAATTTTATTTTCTTACAAATTTTAAGTCTGTTAGCATGAAATTGAATGTTAATTTGGTTAATTGAATATTAATTGGATAAATTTGCATATTACTTTGATATTGATTTGATAAATTAAAAATTTATTAGATGATTTAGGATATTAATTTTATGAGTTGAGTTTTAATTGGATGCATTTAAAGAGAAATTAGATGAATTGAATTTCAATGTTAATTTAATTAAATGAATATTTATTAGATAAAATTAAATGTTAATTTGGTATTAATTTGATCAATTGAATGTTTGCATGAATTAAATGTTAATTTGACGAATTAAATTTTAATTGAATGATATTTAATATTAATTTGATGAGTTCAATTTTAATTGGATGAATTTGGAGGTCAATGTGATGTCAATTTTCTGAATTGCTTGTTAATTGAATACTTTATAGATAAAATTGAAAAAATTGATATTTTAGATATCAATATGAAAAATTGTCCATCTTTAAAGGATAAAAATGTTATCATCCAATTAACATTTGGTGCAAGTTATCACTTTTGGAGTAAGTTAAGTTATCACTGTTTGAGGGTAAATTACCACTTTTATGGGGTAAGGTATAATTTTGAGGGGGTAAGTTACCATTTTTTGCAGTTAAGGTGTAACTGTTTGAGGGGTAAGATATCACTTTTTCGATAAGGTGCTATTTTTTGGTGGTGTGTTAGCATTTTTATAGGGGTAAGTTACTGTTTTTACAAGGTAAGTTACCATTTTTAGGAGGTAAGTTATTACTTTTTTTGGTATAAATTACAATTTTTTGAGAGTAAGGTACTGCTTATTTTGGGTGAGATGTACCATTTTTTGGGAGATAATGTACAATTATTTTGGAATAAAATACCAATTTTTGAGATAAGTTACAACTGTTGGTGGGGGGGGGGGGTAAGGTACCCCTTTTTGAGGGTAAGTTATCATTTTTGTCAGGGTAAGGTACCACTTTTAGGAAGTAAATTTTCAGTTTTTGGGGGAAAGATACAATTATTTGATGGTAAGGGACTATTTTTTGGGAATAAATTACAACTGTTTAAGAGTAAAATATTATTTTTTAGGTATCACTTTTTTTGGAAAATGTATCACTTTTTTGGGATAAATTATTACTATTTGAGGGTAAAGTACCATTTTTTGAGGTAAGATACCATTTTGGAAAGTTATCACTTTTATAGGGCTAAGTTACAATTTTTTAAAAATAAGGTACTATTTTTTTGAGATAAAATATTAGTTTTTGAGAGAAATCGAGTGGAGCCGATTGTGAGTTTTTGATACCGAAAAAGTAAGAGGCAGTATCGAAGTTAACTTCTACCTTTCATATCTTCATCTTCACAAAAAGGTTAAAAAAAAAATCTATTTTTCAGAAAAAATTTTCACATCTAAATAAAATTTTATGATTTATAAAAAAAATAGATTGGAACTTTGAAACCATATCACATCTAAAGTACATATTTCACCCACAAATTGGGACCACTACAAGAAATTTGCATCTGTGCATCTCCAACATTAAAGAGGTGGAACCCACCCACCTTCCCTCTTGGGTAGGACCCACGTCACCACCAATTATCAATTCTGGTTTTACTTCTTTTCATGCAGGGGAAAGACTACGATAGCCAATGTGCTATCGAATTAAAATTTATAATTTTTTAAAATTGAGTTATAAATTTTTTATGATTTAAATTATAATTATAAAAAATATGATTAAATATAATCTATCATAAAATTTTTATTTTTTAGATGTTATAACTCGGAAAGTAAAATTTACAACTTACGGTTGATTCAATATTTTATAATCAATTATAACTTTATATTCAAAAAAATTATATCTTTATTCTTAATTTTTTTTTTTTTGTAAAGATTGCAAAAAGCCAAACACCCCCTTGTCTTCGGACTCATACCCAAACCCAAGCACGTCTCTCGTGGACCCTCCACCTAAAAATGACACCTATCCCTCACTGTAAGCGACAACCCTCCAATTTTTTCAACATTTCCTCTGGCTAAGGTTTCTCCACGTGTCCCTCTCTTATTTGTCCACGGCAGATCTCCTCTACCCATATGTTAAATTGTCGGATAGAAACCAATACAAGGGTAAATTACACTTTCGTCCCAAGAATTTTGGAATAATTATACAAAAGTTTCCTTGATGTTTCGAGAATATTACTAAGCACAATGAATTTTGTACGTGATAAGTAGTCGGTCTAGATGTCATAATTTTCAACATAAGATGTTTGTATGATTAGAGCACGAAATCAAATTATTGGGTTTAGACTAACAATTTTTATGACTTGTGTATAATCCTAATTAGGACTCATTTGACTGCTCCAAGATAGTGTTCATGACATGATTATGATCCATGTAACCTATAAGACCTTTGTTTTTAATGTTTATTGGCTTTCAATCTTTTCGACAATGAATATGATCCAAATAATTTTTCCTAACTCGTAAAACATATCTAACCTAACATGATTTATTACTAAAGTGAGTGTAACCGATCTTCTTGTACCACCTGTGTAATAATTGAATGTGCAATGTTTATGCATTTGTTATACAATAAATTATTAATGTTTATTTTGTGCTAATCAAGTTTTACACTATGAATTTTAACATGAAACAAATTCTTTGTAATACTACCCGATTATTATTCCTTGCATAGATACTTATTTCGTGTTGATATTTATAAAAACTCCAATTTTATACTTGATCTTTTTTTTTTGTTGATTTTCTACTTTTTAATTAATCAAACTAAGATAAAGTGGTTATTCCACTAATAATCTGCTTAAAAACTAGGGTCTCCACGGTCAGAGATATTCGGACCAGTTTATGCATATATTGACTAATCCTCTTTTCAAGTTGACCAAAGATAAGCCATTCACGTCGAAATTACGACATTCTTGAAGGAAAATTTTTTCATAATCTGATCCAAAAATGATTGCTAAGATTCGAATTCAAGACATATAAGTTTACAACTTGCCGTTATTATCATTTGACCTATCCCTTGAGTTTTATTTTAGTTCTTGAATGTCTAGATTGTACATGTCAAAAAAAAAAAAATAATAATAATAAATATGTCAAGATTGTTGTGCTATATTTACAAAACTCTGAAGTAGCTAGTGTAATTTATCCAACAAAGCAAAGGAAAAACCACCACCACTGCAGAAACTTTCGTGCATATAGTCCATCAGAGAGAGAGAGAGAGAGAGAGAGAGAGAGAGATGGGAGGAGAGAATTGGAGTCTGACGGCGAAACCGTGTGACTCATGCAAAACGTTGCCGGCGACCCTGTTTTGTAGGGCGGACACCGCTTTCCTATGCGTGGGTTGTGACTCGAAGATTCACGCGGCGAACAAGTTGGCTTCGAGGCACGGCCGCGTGTGGATGTGCGAGGTGTGCGAGCAGTCGCCGGCCACCGTCACTTGCAAAGCTGACGCGGCATCGCTCTGCGTCACCTGTGACCGCGACATACACTCCGCCAACCCCCTCGCCCGCCGCCACCAGCGCTTTCCGGTGGTTCCTTTCTACGACTCCGCCGCCGTCGTAAAGAACCATCACGACAGCCACGGTGGCGATGACGACGCCAGTGAAAAGTATTTCTCCGATGTCGACGGCGGAACTGAAGAGGCTGAGGCGGCCTCGTGGCTTTTGACGAATCCAAATCCGAATAAAGTGATTGATGTGTTCGACGAAATGGATTCATACTTGGATTTGGATTTGATGTCAGGGGATGGAAAACAACAGATTCAGAATCATCAGCAATATAGTTGTGGGGCTGATCGGGTGGTGCCTGTCCACGGCGAGGATGGTCTGCGCCGCCCACAGGTGGAAGGTCCGGTGGTGGATGGATTTCCTACCTCTGAAGTAGACTACTCTGGATCTAAGCCATTTATGTACAATTTCACTTCTCAATCCATCAGTCAAAGCGTAAGCGAACTCTTTCATGCTCATTTTGTTACTTCAATTTGCAGTAGTTAGATTTTCTGTTTGGTTGCCTAGAAAAGCTCGAAGAAAATGAACTAGATCAGTTTTTATCTCTTGTTATATGCTGATTTGGGCTTCAGAGGGTGAGCAAATAGAAATTAATCAAATTATGTAAGTGGAGATCATGTTGTAGTTGGCTCAGTTGACTGAGGGATGTCTGTTGGGTTGGAAAGGAAATTTAGGGAAAGAGTCGGAAAATAAGGAAAGGAAATAAAGTTCTCAAATCTAGAGTTCTCTTCTCTTTGATGTCCACCAATATGAACTTCTGTGTTTCTATCTAATGGGTTAGTGTTTCACCTTCATACATTAGAATTTAACTTCCATGTTTTAATCTCTAACTACTCCCCATCCACGGTACATTTTCTTCGAATTTTCTCAGAAATAAAACAGAACTGTAGATTTAGATCATAGCTCAACTGTTTCTGTTATTCTTGGATTGGATGTTTGTCATGAACGCTAAGCACCACCAAGTTTTTTGTACTACTTTTTATCCTTAATTTTCTCACCAACTAAACAAAGGATAAAACATCCTGGATCCATCCTTGCGACCAGACCTAATTTTCAGATCAGTCCATGAAAACCAGCTACAACATTATATGACATATTAGATTGACAATTAATTTCACAATTGGTGACAGGTATCTTCGTCTTCACTTGATGTTGGTGTTGTGCCAGACCACAATGCAATGGCGGATGTATCCAATTCATTTGCAGTGAAAAACACTACAGACACCGTTCCAAACCCACTCTGTGGAATGGACAGAGAAGCTAGAGTAATGAGGTACAGAGAGAAAAGAAAGAACAGGAAGTTCGAGAAAACCATTCGATATGCTTCAAGAAAGGCCTATGCAGAGACCAGACCAAGAATCAAAGGAAGGTTTGCCAAGCGTTCGGAAATGGATGTTGACTCATTAATCACATCAGATGCCTCATATGGCATCGTTCCGACTTACTAAGCTTTTTTTAACTAAAATTTGGTGGTTTTGCTGATGTTGTTGTTAATGCAGATTCTCTGTATATGTACATGTAGTAGGTGATCTTGATCTACATTAGATCGATGGGGAACGATTAATTTTTGACCGTCGATTTCGTTGAAGCTGTTTTTGCTTATTGTCTAATGTAATGAATTTTTTTTGTCCCTTTCTGTGATCTTTCAAACCTATGAATGATGGTATGTATGGTTCTACTATTGATTCTTTATTGGCTTTGTGGATGGTTTGTTCATTGCCAAAGGATTGGTGGCGAATCAAAATCCAGAAGGCTATTGGTTGGTGGGATCGTTATCCTTGGATGATTAATTAAATTATATGGATGGTTTGTTTATTGCCACATCTGAAGGACTAATGGGCATCATTTTACAAGGGTCTGAAAAATAAAGGAAAAAGGGTGTTCGATACGAAAATTTCAACTTATTTGAGATAAAGCAGATTAAGAAAATTTATTTGGCTCTAAATATAATTTTTTTGAAAAAGACCAAAAAGTCATTAAATAAAAGTAAAGATTTGTGCATAGCTGGTTTAGAAATCAACTGGTTTCATGGTAACAATAAACACGAATCGGCAGAGTTGGAGTTGGAAACTGGCGCACAATTTTCTACTTTCCAAAGTGGGTTTTGAATTTCAAAAGCAATATCTATTGTTCCACTGTAACTAAAATTTCAAGATTTACCTTCCATTGACGAAGAACAAACCAAAGATGGTTCCATTATATTAAAAACGAGGGTTTTGAAGGAGGGAAATTGAAGTAAAATCGCCGACAATTTGGGTTTCTTGTACGAATTACTTTCTTTTTTTTTTGGTTCAATTTATCTTCTCCAAAAAATTCAAACGAGCTAATTGAAAAATCCATGTTTTGTAACAAGAAAATAAGAAAACTGAAAACGTTTATGATGAATGCATGTATGTAAAATTGAAATTTCTAAAAAATAAGTTTACACACGAGTAACTGTTTGGTGTATCATAGGACTAGTGTAACTCAATTGAGTAATGCCTGAATCGCAACATCAAGGTCTGACCCAAATTGAGCAAAGGCTGCCACTTTGCGATATTGTGCTAATTCCAATTTTGAACTACCGTTGATTGTTTCATAGCTTTCAACTGAGCGACGGACCTGATTGATGTAATTGTTTGTTGTAATGTTGATATCACATTATGTTTAAGTAACTATTTGGTGTAACTCCTTGCTATATCAAAACAAATGCATAGAATGGTCTTAACAAAAACATGTAAAGCAGGGTCGACTGTGGTCTCTTTGTTTGCTACATAATGAGTCAGATTGCACTTGACGAAAAAATACAAGAAAATTTGGCAGCTGCATAAGTGAAAAATTTTCGATTAAAAATGATGGCAATGTTCTTAAACCATCACAATTCTTGGACCGTAGACAAATTCAACAAAAGGATGAAATTGAAGGCAAAATATAAAGAGAAATTATTAAGATTTTATTGCATTTTTGTAATTTTAAGTAGACATTGTTTCCCGTGTAAATATGGGATATTCTTTAAGAATTCGAATTTTAATTCGATTACTTTCATCATTTCAAGTTTAAAAATTTGTGCAACTTTTTGGTGTATCTATTTTTGTGTATCTCGTTAGTGTAAATATATGGTGCACCTGTATGACGTATGTCATTGGTTAATAACAACATGCATATTGTATCTCATTGGTGTCACTATTTGGTGATATTGTTTGGTATATATTGTTATTGTAGCTCTTTGTTGTCATTGGATGGTATAATTGTTAGGTGTAATACTTTCGTTTAATACTACAAGTCTTTGATTTCTATGTTTGGTGTGCCTGTATGACATACTTCTTTGGTATGATTTCTCCAATTTGGTGTATATAATTGATGTAATTATGCCATAATACTATATGATGTAACTCTTAAATTTATGTAAACAACTGAATGATAAATTAGATTTGTGTCATAATTTTGTGTAATTGTTTGGTGTAATTGTTTGATTTTATCAGAACACATTAATAAATGTTTGGTATATTACACGACAAGTGTAACTTATTAGTGTAATTATTTGTTGTAACGTTGATTTCACATTATGTCTAAATAACTATTTGATGTAACTCTTTGTTGTATCGGCTTGTGGCATTAACATTGCATTACAGCTCTGTTTTTCTACTTCATGGTACAAAAAAAATTTCTCTCTGCTTTTGTTTTGCTGTAATATTCCCACAACCAATATGCTTCAATGTGAAAAGAGTTACACCATACATGTACTAGTTCCCTTATTTGAAAGCTTCCACGGTAATATGTCTACATAGAATGACTAAAAATAATATAGCAATGGCAAATATCTAACATGAGTTTTACATAGGCTCGTTACAAGTTTTTTATTGTGACTCCCTGATTGTCCACAACAACTATATCGAATTTGCTTAATAAGTTCTATCTTGACCTTATTCTACCTTTTTTTAGTTGACCAAGCTGCTTCCTAGATAATGGCAGCAAAATCTCAGCTTTGTCCACTGGGAAGTTAGGACAACCATAAATGCAAACCATGTCTGAATAAAAAAAAAAGATTTTGATGAAGAAATATCAACACAAAAGATTAAGTTCATCCAGTGATAATCCTCAAACACATCCCCAGTAACATAAAAAATTTGTAGGGGTTAGATTGATAATCTACAACTCAGATTTAAAAATTACACAAAATCCCAAAAGAACTTTAACTTTAAACTAGATTTTTTTTTTTGGTTTGAAACAATAAAAAAAATGAGCAATTAAAAAAAAAACTCAGAATAATTAAATATTTACTTATTGGTCGGTGATGATGATCAGAATTTTGATATGTATTTTGGATGAATCCTCAATTGATGAAGAAACCAACTCCGAATCAAAATAATTAGAAGAATAGTTGATAATGAAGATCAACAAATGTCGACGATCAAATGTTCTTTGCCTTTTCGGGGAAGTCCACGACTAGAGAATAAATGTAGGGAAAAGAATTGGTAGAAGGCAACGTCTGAAGAAGATACTACTATTCAAAATTCAAATGAATGATAAATTTAATCAAATCTTTAAATATTTGATTAGAAAATAAACTATTAACAATTATCCATTATTTAAAGAAAGATAAATAAGTAATATAAATAAAAGGTAAACTGAATTTTGTACATAATAACAACAAATTTAAAAAAACGTGAATTTAATAGAGTAAAAAACTTATCAATATACTTTCTCTCCAATAAATTTTAAAAAATATACCCACACTCAAAAAAACACTAAAATAAATAAAGAATTCGAGGTCAACTTTGGGCTGGTTCGTTAAAGATTGGTCCGAAAAAATGAATAATGTCTTTGAGCTCAATTTCACAAGTTAAATCACGTAAACTGTTTAAAATATCATGCTATGCGAACTTGGCTCATGATTGGTCTTAAAAAAACCCATGATTCTTGTTCGAATCTGAAATGAAGCTTAGCAATGGTCTCGACTCCGATTTATTTTGAACCCTTAACTAGCCACTCTCTCCGACAATTTGGGTTGAATTCACTAGAATAACGATTTCCTTCCCTGTTAAGAGTAAGCTAGATCTCACATTGCATATGAAATAGCACAATGTTGATCTAAAACACATCTTGATTCTTTTGATAGTGTAGGTGGGAAGTTAAACAGGTTGGCACCCGTGCCTAATTCCAATATATTCGAAAGGACGACTAGGATAAATAGCCAAAATGAAAGGATTTAAGTTGTCTATTAACTTTTGGGACCAAATTTTAGGCAAAAAGTTTCTGGGATAGGTAGAGGTAATGAATTTTGCGGCGTCAACCATATTGTCTATCTCAGACTGGGTTGGTGTGTGTACTATAATAATAAGTAATGAAGGGATCCATAGCAAATGTATTGGCACAGACAGAGCTGCCCTATGGGTTACCGACGACAACCTCTATGCAGGTGCCTCAAGCATTGAGTAGATAGATGTGACGTCTACTATGCAGTTTGGGCTCAATTTTCGAGGACGGGGTACATTCCTTGAGACAAAAGGAACACCCGAGTTAGAGGGTCACAACTAGCTCACTGTGAAAGGGTCATATTCGTGGTGCACCCAGTGCACACACACCACAACGACCCCTTTCCTTTTAGAACCACTTCTAAAGGCTTTCACTGAGGTGCCCAATAAAAGATTCTCACATAGTTGCGGTCATTTAGCTATCAATTCACATGTCCATTATCTCATATGTTCACATGGACTATTAACCCCTTATACGTTTGGAGTTCTTCCAGATCCAAGTTAAGCACCATCGCGTATGTAGTAAGCCATACACTTAAGAGACTTGCTTGAGAAAACTAAACTTTCAAAGTTTTGCTCAATGCTGAGATTGACAATCATGTTCATCGGCCCCAGTCCCTTTCCTTTGAGGAGGGTTATATTTCCTTATCTTGAGGTAGGGACCACTCCTCTTAATCCCTTGGTTTAGTCGAGCAACAATATACCATTGTTTAACTTTACCTCCATGGGCATCGAATGGTTTCAAGTTATCCCTCGAAGATTTGTAAGAGATACAATCTCTGTCATACGTGGAATCCCAAACGTGGGATCCCAATGATTAGCCATGATTATTGTAATAATAGTTGGCTAATTACATTGGGTGAAGAGTTAATTATATTAAATTGATTAAGTTTTGGATCTTATCTTCCTTTTGAAGTATTTTTCAATTTGTAGGTAAAGTATGTGATTTTAATAGTTAAGGGGGTGAATAGAGAAGGAGTAAAGACATAAAACAATTACAAGGCAAAAAAGACGGGAAAAAAACCGTGCGCCTGGACGGTGGAACAAGCACGTCTGGATGTGACTTCTAGAAGCTGCGAAGGAGTTACTGTCAAGTGCATCCGGATGGTCCAAAGCACGCGTCTAGACGTGAGTAGCAAAAAAGGCCAAAACAACAATGTGCGTTCGGACAATTGAAAGCACACACTTGGACGCAATGATCAGAATCGGCCAATTACTCCAGACTTTGATTTTAATTAGGTTTTTTTTGTTCCCTTGTGTTTATATAAGCTAATGTAAAGCATTGATTCTTTAGCCTCTTTTTCTCTAGTTTATTGTATTATTTGTTTTATGGATTGCTAAAGTCCCAAAATAAAGTTAGGGGAGAAGCTTTCAATAAAGGATGGTATTGGTTTTGATCAAATGTTATTAATTTATGATTTTTATTTTAAAATTAATTCATGTCTTTTTGTAAAGTTTTTGGTATGTAAACTTTTT